TCACAATGGCAGAGCTGAAAAAGACGTCTGGGGTGCAGCTGTGGGGCAGGAGTTCTCAGTTGCCGCCTCCCTGGGCGTTTCTGTGTACTGTTTACATTTTCCAGATTCCCCCCAAAATAAAATAAATAAAACAAAGGCAAGCAAAAGCTACACATTAAAAAAGAAACCTCTTTCTGAACTTCCTTCAAAAGGACAGAAAGACGAAGAGGAGAAGGCGCTGCTGGTGGTTTTTGATCTCTGGCAGGAAGCTCCTAGAACGTGTGTCTAAAATACTTGGGGCAATCTGAGTTTGTTCCTTTAGGGACCACCACCCTAAGTGGGCACTCAGTCCCAAGAAAGCCGCATTCACACATGCGGAACTGGGAAGACACCAGTGGGTTGCTGTTGGGGGCGGGGCTTGGGGAGGTTGGTGTTTGGGCTGGAAGCTCAGCAGGGCTGTGATGTCACATCCAGGTCGAAGGTCAGTGTATCCAACTCCTCCCCTTGTAAGGTCACGTTCAGGTCAAAGTTCAGCTCATCTTCTTAGACAGAAAGACGAAGAGGAGAAGGCGCTGCTGGTGGTTTTTGATCTCTGGCAGGAAGCTCCTACAACGTGTGTCTAAAATACTTGGGGCAATCTGAGTTTGTTCCTTTAGGGACCACCACCCTAAGTGGGCTCTCAGTCCCAAGAAAGCCGCATTCACACATGCGGAACTGGGAAGACACCAGTGGGTTGCTTGGGTTGCTGTTGGGGGCGGGGCTTGGGGAGGTGGGTGTTTGGGCTGGAAGCTCGGCAGGGCTGTGATGTCACATCCGGGTCGAAGGTCAGTGCATCCAACTCCTCCCCTTGTAAGGTCACTTTCAGGTCAAAGTTCAGCTCATCTTCTTATGAGGTCACTTCCACCACAATTTGAATTTTAAATTGAGGAGGAGGGGGAAGATTTTATACCCCGCTTTCCTCTACCCTAAGGAGTCAGAGCCGAGTTACCATTGCCTTCCCTCCCTCTCCCCATAACAGGCCCCTTGTGAGGCAGTTGGGGCTGAGAGAGTTCTGAGAGAACTGTGACTGTCCCAAGGCCACCCAGCCGGCTTCATGTGGAGGAGGAGTCGGGGAATCAAACCCGCTTTTCCAGATTAGAGTCTGCTGTTCTTAACCACTACACCACACTGCCTGGTATCATTCATCCAAAAAACTACTCAGAATTGTTTTCGGGGGTTTCTGCTATACTAAGAAGAAAAATTGAACCTGAAGACCAGTAGGAGGATATTGGCCAAAAGAAGTCCTGTACCTCTCTTAATCCCCAACTGATCTGAAGCCTTTAGTGTCTTTCAGGTGTAGAAAAGAGCAAGAGACCTGTAGCACCTTAAAGCCTAACCTTAATGACCAGGGGACATTTCGTAGAAAAAGAGGTGCAGGAGCTCATTAGCATAACTCATTAGCATTACTTATTTGAAAATACCACACCCCCTGACATCACCGGAAGTGTGTCAGAAGGCAACACCCACCGCTCAGGCTCCACTGGACTGTTTTGGATTGCTATTGCGGGGGGGGGGACATGTGCAGATCTGTCCTCGCAGAGGAGGGAGAGCTTGTACCTGAAGAAAACTTGGTCTCAAAGGTGCCACTGGACTGTTTTGGATTGCTAGCTATTGGGG